TTTTTTCCAATGAGCTTTTGCAATTCGTGATACCTGATTTGCTTTCAAATTTATAAGTCTTGATGAATTAAACGCAAAATTGACTCACATTCCGTTGAGCAGGTTAGCTTGTAGCAGAGAGTTTGGCACATCGTTTACGGGTTTTGGTTGAGGAGGTACGGCTGCGGTTTGACGAAATGGAGATTCGGGTTTCACCATTGAAAGACCATTGTTGAATAAGGGCAGGCCGGCGTCGCATGGCTGTCAAGAAATGAGATTATGAAAAATTTTTATCACCTTCAAGAAAAGTGTAGACTTCGCGAACAGGATAATTTTGTCAAAATTAGTGGACAGTTTGGAGATAATAAGGAGATCTTGATAAAAAGTGAGCACATTGAACTATGAACAACTCTTTGAAAATCCCATTTGGGAAAGAAGGCTACAAAATCTTCATTTGCTAGTGTCAGGTCACTAGCGTTCTAATTCTTCTCTGTCTATTATCAACACGATCGCTGCGGTTTGATACCATAAAATCTATTTTCAGCTCTTCTGAGAGATGAGAGGACCCACGGCAGCTGACTCAAAGAATCCAGAATGTTAACGCTCACCGTATTGGACCTTTCCGTCTTGGGCACCTTCATTAGACTCGCCATAATGTTGTCGTTCATGACCTGCATTGGATAATCATCATCCTCTTCCGTCTTCAAAATGTCCTTAAGTGAGTCACGTCATTTTTTGACTTGGGCAGAAGTCGGCCAGAAAACAAAACTCACATCCAATCCGTCAAACATCATCAACTTCCTCTTTTGTGGATTCACCGGTCGAGCCCTAGGCTTGCGTGGTTTGCCTACTCTTGATCGTGCTAGTTGGATACTTTTGCGTAGACTCTCCTTGTTCTCGAACTCTGCAAGATGGTCTTGAACACCATACTGATATACATTTCAGGTCACAGTATAGAAACTTACCAACTCCATGACTGAGGTAATCGCATGCTTGATTTACAAGGTCTCCAGCATCGAGATCAGGATTTTCCAGAGCTGCCATGAAGAGTTGGGACTAAACGTGCATGCTAGTTATTCACATTCAACATCTCTTCGCTCATCTGTTATTGTCACTGTGCCGCTGAGAAAATATACGACCTTGATCCGTACTCCAAACGTGTGGCATATATTCGTGCACCCGTAATCTATGCAAAACTAGACCACAAGGTGAAGGCAGTTCCACGAATTTCGCTTTTGGATAATTTAGCGCTACGAGGGATGAACTCTCATTGTCATCTTTCAGGATTTCATTTCATGCAGAAATACTTAACGTTTGAGACTCAGTTAAACACTGTTTGTTGCTGAGCCAATACTTGCACACCTACAACTGGTTTACAAATCTAATTGACTTTAATGCTCCCTCTCCGTCTCCACCATACCCTCTTTCCCCTTCACTCGCGCTTGGGTTAAAACGGATCCGTTTTGTAGGCTATCGCATTTCTAAGAATTTTGTTGAATATCTTTACTATTACACTTCAGCAAAATCTTACTACCAATTATACTTCAGTGCAAGTCAAGTTCGCAGTAGATTTGAGGTGGGTGATGTAGCTCATTTGCCACAGTGG